ATCAGGGGTGTGGTGGAGGTGATTCCTCTGAGACTTTATAGTGGACACGACCCGCTGCTCGTCGCTAGGCCTGCTGACCCTGGGTTCTCCTGCTGCTCGTCGCTAGGCCTGCTGACCCTGGGTTCTCCTCCACCACAGTGAAGAGAAGCCAGACGGGACCAGAGCGGCAGCCTTGCTTTGCTTTGGTGAGGAGGCAGTAGCAGGACAGCATCGCTTCAGGGCCTTGGCTCAGGCTGGGTAAACAGGGCAAATCGGAGCCTTGTGATGTGGTGGTTTTCTTGCTGTGAACGTTTTGTGACCTTAAAAGTACAAAACTAATTTTTCAGCTTTTTAAAATTACCGAGCACTGAACGCAACACCCCATCGTCAAATCTCCTGACCCTCCCCCATTTCATGCTCACCCACACATCTCTGGCCTCCCCCTTTCCCCTGACCTTTAGAGCCCCACTGTCTGTTTACCTTGGCCTCACTGCAGAAGAGCTCAGGGGAGCAGAGCCCTCCCCAGGGTGGTGGTGGCAGCAGGAAGGGCAGTTTCTCGCTTTCTCCTCCTGTCCCTCCCTCCTCTGCTTCTCCTCTTTGTTCTCCTTCTGTCCCCCTCTCTTTGACTTTACAGCTGGCAGGATTAGTTGGCTGGGGATGAGTCAGGGTGAGCCCTCACCTCCCCTGTCACCTGTCTGTCCATCAAATGGGAGGATAGCGCAAACATTAGCCTGATCTCTCAGGCCTCTGCACCCCCACAATCCAGGTGGCTTAGATTTCCCAGGTACCTGGATCCACTCTCAGTGTGTTAACAGCAGGTGGGGGGAAAGAAACAGAGCAGTGTGCCCTTGACTGAGGACAAGACACTGCATGACGTTTCCTTTGACCTTGAGCGTGCCTCTTGCCAGCCCTGCCTCTCAGGAGAGACAGAGAGCCGGAACTTGCCTCTTTGGCACTGTCAGCCCTATGCAGCTTTCACACATTCTCTAGCACAATTAAGCCACATTCCCAGTCTGAGTCCTGAGAGACAGGGTCAGAGTTGGGGTGTGGGGAAAGGGATGCCAGCCCCCACCTTCAGGGGAATGGGGCCGAGGTACAAAGAGGGGAGAGGCCCTGTGCTGGTGCGTGTCCTTGGGCCTCTCAGCACCGTTGTTGCTACGTCAAAGTCCAGCAGATGCCAGAGTCTCATTCTTGGCCTGCCTTACTTGGGCTGACAGCCTTTTCCTCCTGCTCTGACTTAAGATCCCTGGCACCTCTTTCATGCCACTGTTGAGAGTCACTTCAGCTCTCTGGGCCCCGGCATGTGACATGAGAGACCAGGTCAGACAGTCGCTCCGCCTGCTCCCGGTGTTGATGGAGAGGAGCCTCTGGCTTGCTCTGTTCTCTGCCCTCTTTTAAGTTCCTTCCCCTTTTTTTCTCTAAGATCAAACAAATAAACATGATGTTTATTCTCTTTATACATTTAATACATCTTTGCTGAAGAAGAGAAGCAAAAAGGCTGTCGTTAGAATCACCACCTAAGAAACAATCACGATTATCACTTTGCTGTAGATTGTTTTTCTCTCTCCTCCAGACACTGAGGATTCCTCAGTGACAAGTCAGGCAGGGTTCCTACCCTCTCGGTGCTTACATATCAGTGGGAAAAACTACTACACATCATCTAAATAACATCTACTGACAAACAAAGCAGAGCTCTCTGTGTGTTCCCTTCCTCCTCCGTCTCCGTCTCTATTGCCATTGATTTCCTCCCCAAGAATCCTTCCTTTTCTTTTGCACATCCACGCTGCGGCAGAAAAAGGCTTCGTATGTAATTCGAAGGAGCCGGGCACATGTCTGGGGTGGGCTTTGTGCTGGGTGTTGGAGGGGTGGAAGGAGAAGACAGTCTCCACCTGTCAGGGGCAGGATTTGCTTAGGTCCTTGTGTAGAGTGCTCAAGGCTGCTTGTGCCCCATGCCTTGTATCAGAAAAGCCACATCCCAGTGTGTGGAAGGAGGAGCCTCCTGGGCTGAGAGAAAGGTCTAGTCATAGGTGTTGGTCCACATAGCCATAGCCTAGCCAGGGGCCGGGACTCAGTATGCTGCTGCCACCGTGCCCAAGGCCTCTCCCTGGCCTTTCTTGCATCCCAAGTGATGGGAAGGAGAAGGAGGAGGGGGTAGTGAGATGGTGAGGAAGGAAAGAAAAGTGAGAGGGGAGGAGAACCAGCCTGTTTCCATAGCAACCACACATGTGAGCCAGCTGCTGTTGCCATGGAAACAAGGGGAGGCTGCTCAGAGGCTGCACTGTCTCAGGGGAGACACAATTTTTTACAAAAAAATACCCTTTGATAAAAATAAAGAAAAATAATGAAAGCCACCCTCTCTGGGACTCAGAGGCACTGCCATGTAAGGTGACAAAGAAGAGGAGGGGGCTGGGCTATGGGGAGGAGGCTGTGGGGCCAGTCACTTCTGCCTGCTGCAGAGAATTGCCGAGTCAGTGTTTTAGAGCCAAGGGACCTCGGAGATCACCCTTACTTGATGGATGAAAGAGGGAGGCCGTGGAGGGAGGCGGCTCACTCAGGCTTCCAGGGCAGGCGGAAGCAGCTCAGGGAAACCCAAAGGCTCTTGGGAGAAGGGAAGGGACACACTGGTTCTATGGGGGTGGTTAGTGCAGCCTTTGGGGTCTTCATGGGCCAGTGTGTGGGGATCGGGAAGGAAGTGAAAGAAAAATGGCCAAGTTCAAGCCCCTTTAACTGGAGCGGGGAGTGTGGCAGGCACCTTGGTCTATTTCTTCCTCTCTCTTTACCCCAGCCCTCTGCTGAGCTCGGCTTCCCAGGGGTTTGGCTCTTTCTCAGGGGACCAAGCCCAGATGAGTCCCCACCAACAGGGCTAGAGAGAAATTGTCAGCCAGTAACCATGAGAGAGCCTCCCAGTCTAAAGAGAGGAGAAGAGAAAAGGGTGGGAAACACCCAGAAGAAGCTATGCCGTCTTCTCTAGGGAAAGTCTTACCGGCCTAATGCATCAGCATGGTGGCAGTGGGACTGAGAGGCATGTCCACAGACACTTGGTTATAGACTAGATATTTGGCCAGGAGATGCTCTTGGTAGGGGTCAAGTCCAGGGGAGATCGATGAAGACACAGTTCCCACAGGAAGGCGAGGGCTTAAAGCAATCAGGGCTTTAATAACAAGGTTTCTGGACTGCAGGGTTCCATGCAGTATAGCTGGGGCCCTGGCCAGGTAGGGGAGGCCTCTGAGTGCCCTGCAATTTCACCAGGAGCATCTCTGCTTTGATCTCTTTCATAGGTTTATTCTTTCACAAAGTACTTTCCCAAATGGCATCTCATTTGCTTTCCCATGACAACACTGAGAAGCAGATGTGCCCATCCCCATATAAGAGAGGACACAGTCTCAGAGAGGTTAAGCCCCTTGCCCAAGTTACACAGCTTGAAGCAGCAAAGCAAGAATTCGAACCCAGGCTCCAGAACCAGATGCCAACCCCATTTCACAAGGGATGATGAGAAGGTGTGTTCCTGCTCAGGATCTTCTCTGGCCTCTCCTTGAAGAGACCAGAGCAAACAAAATGCTACCCCATGGCAGTAGCACAGAATGACGCAGGTCAAGGATACATTTTGGGGAAGTGATCTTGCTGCCTTTGTCCTGGAGTCCCATCTTTTCTTTCCTTGGGGACTTTGTGTGGCCTCAGCCGGGGACTCTGGAGGTGAGGGTGAATGGCAGGAGGGATGACAGGGGACTGGGAGGGTGGGACTCTGGAGTGCCACATACCTCCTGTCCTCTGCCCTTCTCGCTCCTCCCTTCAGCCTCTAAGGCAGAGACCACGTGGGTGAGTCACCATGGAAACTGCAGAGTTCTATTTGAAAGCAAGGCACGGTGTAATATGAGCTGACTGGGGGAAGGGTGCTGGGGCTGGGACACAGAGGTGGGGCAACTACACCTGTTTGGCTCAGGTACGCCTAGCGCACCTCTTTTCACCAGGAACCATCTATTTTGAGGCCTCGCCAGCCTTCTTTCCCATAATTACCTGCCTTTCATGGTCCCAGGGTCACTGCCCTCTTTTCATGCACAGGTTCATTCTTAATCTCGGGCAACAGCCCCACAGGCCCCACCCCGATTCCCCAGAGAAAGAGCGATTATTCCTGGCATACAACACAGGGTGGCAAAAAATCAAGAGAGATTATTTGTGCCATACCAGGGGCAGGACACAACCTCAGGAGTTATCAGGATTGCAGGGTGTGTTTAGGGGAAGGAAGGGGGTAGTGGTGGGGACATGGAGTTCCAGAGATGGAGCAGCAAGGATTCAGGCATGGCAGAGTGTTGACACAGGAACAGGGAGACTCTGAATCAGACCTGAAGGTGAGAGGCGGGTTTGCATTGACCTCAGTTAGATTTCCCTATAGCTATACCCAGGTCCTGGCCATCACCCGCTCGTGCCTGGTGTAGGCAGCGCTGTTCTGGGTCTTGCCTGTGGTTACTCTTGCTGTGTCCCCCATCACTTGCTATCCCAAGTAATAGCAGAGGAGTTAATGCTTCTCCACTTTGCTGTGTGGCTCAGGGCAAATTGTCTAGCCTTGCTGAGCCTCTACTGCTTCTTCCATGGAACAAGAATAATAAAATAACTGTCTCATAGGGTTGGTGGGGGATTAAAAGAGACAATGCATTCAAAGTGCTTAGCACAGAGTTCGATGTCAACAAAAACAGAAATACGATTACTAATATTATCCGTCCCCTGAAAACAAGCCCCGTCTCCTCTGTGAAAACTTCCCTTCTCTAAGGAGGGAGGAACTGGCTCTCAGGAGCATTCTCTCACTGCATTCTCAAAACAGCCTGGAGAGGGAGGTGCTCTTCTTATTACCCCCATTTACAGAGGTGGACACTGAGGTGCAGTGAGTGTCTTGCTCAAGGTCATTGGCTAATAAGCAGGGTCAAGATTCAAGCTCAGTCTGTCTGGTTTCAAAGGCTCGTGCTTTTTCTACCACAGTGTGCACCTCATGTATGTACAACCCTCCCCCAGCCACTTTCATTCCAGTTCAAAGCATGCTATTATTGCTTCTCGTTTCTTTCTCGCCTGTTCTCGCTGGACTCCCTCTGCACCAGGGCAGAGAGTAAGGAGGTCAGCAGAACCAAGGAGGGTGGGGACTCAGACATTCCCAGTTCCACTGGGAGCTTTTATGCAGCAGGAAGCTGGAAGCCAGGAGGAGTGTTTGTAAGAAGCAGGTGACCTGACATAGAAATCCCCAGGTAGGGAGAGGGTTCCAGGTGCTGGGAGGGGTTCTCTGGGCACTGAGACAAATTCTCCCCAGCCCGCTTTGATTTTCTGCTCAGCTCTGACCTTGGTTTCCCAACCCCAGCCTCCCAGACCGGGACTGGTGAAGGCTTCATGGATGACCTTGACCTGACTTTGTCTGTTTGAGGACTCGAAGTGTCTCCAGCAGGTGAAGAGGAGACAGAGAGAAGTCTGGGGAGAATGGGGAAGAGAAAGGAGAAACAGGAGGGAAGGAGGAAGAGGGAGGAACT